GGTTGTACATTGTGGACTATTTGTAGTTACTTCTGCCTGGACAGTTAAGGGATAGTATCTACTTTTTCCACCAGTGGAAAAAAAACAACAAAATGTGTCATATCTTCTACAGAACAATCATTGGTTTTCTTCCCACTTTGATTTATGAAATTGTTTTCCCCAGAAATTCCATGCCAAGGTTTTCTACTTCCTTCTCCCCAACTCAGCACACATCAGATCTCATCTGATTACAACAGCTAGAATTCCAACATAGTGGCTCAGTGCCTAAGATACTGAGCTTGTCGATCAAAAGGTCGGCAGTTCAGTGGTTCAAATCCCTAGTGCCGTGTAACGGGGTGAGTTCCCGTTACTTGTCCCAGCTTCTGCCAATCTAGCAATTTGAAAGCATGTAAAAAATGCAAGTAGCAAAATAGGGACCACCTTTGGTGGGAAGGTAACAGCGTTTTGTGCGCTTAGTCATGCCAGCCACATGACCACGGAGACGTCTTTGGACAGCGCTGGCTCTTCGGCTTTGAAACAGAGATGAGCACTGCCCCCTAGAGTCGGGAACGACTAGCACATATGTGCGAGGGGAACCTTTACCTTTACCTTTTACAATCAGTCATGGGAACTGGGAATTCTGGGATTTATAGCATCTCTAAGAAAGGAAAGAGCCTTTTAGTGGTTAGAGCACCAGGCTACAAATCAGGAGACTGTGAATTCTAGTCCCACTGAAGGCATGAAAGCTAACTGGGTAACTTTCGGTTCAGTCACTCTCTCTCAGCCCAACCCATCTCATAGGATTCTTGTGGGGAAAATAGGAAGAGGAAAGATGTTGGCTGCCTTAAGTTATTTTACAAAAATAATAAAGGCGGGATATAAATAAAATAAAATAAATAAAAAGCCAAAGATACAAAAGAATAGGTGGTCAGCCTATTGTAGCTACTAAAACAAATGCTATCACATTCTCTGCCTGTCTCCCTTACCTCTAGTAAAGAATGCAAAGTATGGGGAAGCAATGAGTTATTGTTTGAGACTGGTTTCCTCTAGATGCATCAGACTTCAGTTTCTAGAATTATACAGAAACTTCTCTTTGTTCTGTCATATATAATCTACCATAGCTAGAGAGCATAAACATTGTGGATTCTTTAGGTTTGGAGAAAACTGGAGTGGGGAATTCGATTTTCATCTTGCATCAGATTATCAGTGTAAAGCAGAGGTGATATTCATCCGGTTTGAGTGAACCGGTAGTAGCGACCTGTGGGTGGGCCCGTCCACCCGCCCTGGCACTATGCCATCTTATTTAGCCACATTTTCAAGCCTTGCGCATATGTGGAAGCTGCGCGTGTGAGCAAAGCGCATGCGCGGAAGGCTGTGTGCATGCGCGGAGGTCACATTTTTGGTGCCTGGTGAACCGGTAAATTATATGAATCCCACCCCTGGTCTAGAGCCATGTGATTCGGAAGGGAAAAGAAACAAGGACTTAATCTGAGTCCTAGAAACATTTTTCTTTTTAAATGAAAAGAGTTACTCTTTAAAATAGCTACCGAAAGTACCATTGGTTCTAAAATATCATTACCTACTTCTACTTTTACAGAATATATATTATGTTATTTTGGGTTACAGCATCCTCTTTTAATCTTGAAGACCACACAGTCATTGAACTGTATGATTTACATCAGACCTTTTCTTTAAGGCAAAACAGCCTTGTGAGGTAGGTTGGGCTGATGAGCAGCCTAAAGTCACTGAGTGACCTTCTACAGTTGATTTGAACCTGGGTCTGGTGCCAATCCAACATTTTATCTGTCAAGAATAGGGTCAGATTAAGAACAAATTTTAATTTGAAGAGAATTAGATATATTTTCTACTTTGCAACAGCTAGCCATTTTTTGCTGGTATCAGAAAAGTTAGGCTGGTCAGTTTATTATTATTAGATTATCATTATATATATATATATATATATAACTCAAAGTGACAAACAACTAATACTTCTGCCTCTCGTTTTTGCCACAACAACCCTGCGAGGCAGGTTGGGCTGAGACTACAGAGAGAAAATATCTTAAGACAGTTGACTGCAAAGTGCGATGAGAAAGGGCAAGAGATGTGCCTGTTTTGAGCTTGTGGAAGTGCTTTTATTTTATAGAAATAAAATCACAATGGTGATTTGGCCCTTAGTCAAGCTCAACTTGCAAGACTGTTGTTATGAATAAAAAGAAAGCGGGGAGCTCATGCTTGCCATTACAAACTCTACCGTACAATAAAAACATCCTATAATGAAATATGTTAAAATGGGTTGGGAGAAGCGGAAAGAGATGAGTAAAAAGAGATTTGGGTTTTCTTCCCCTCCCCCCATAGATGAAAGAAAAAAAAGGATGTGCCTAACAATGTAAATAAAAATTGCTTCTCCCAAATCTCTCTCTCTCCTTAAATAATACTGTAACTTCATAAGTTTTCTTTTAAGAAAAAACATGAAGTGTTCAAATCTGAGAATTCCAACCTGCATTGCACTACAAATTGGTACAATCCATGATTCTATTGGTTAATGGCTGTATCCAGCAGAATTGATTGGTAAAGCAGCAGTTCCTGGCTATACCACATCAGACTGATGGTGGGAGCTGAAATGTTTCAATGCACTTTGCACAGGCTGGGTGGACACGGTTTCTCTACAAGAGAGCAGTAGTGTGCCAGAGAAAGGATCACCCTTGGCTTAATTCTGAATGAACAGGGAGTTGTTTTTCATGAAGGAACTGCAGAACTATCTCGGCAGGTGGCAGCACTGGGTCAACTTAGTCTTGATGGAGAATCTAAATGAGTATAAGCTTATAAACTGGTTATAATAGGATGGAACACCACTAGGAAATCTCAGAACTGTAGGCTAGATTGTAAAAGACAAAAACAAAATCCCCACCACCTCTCAGAAGACAATGGCAAAGCACTTTCAGAAGCAAATAGTTACCAATGATCCAAAGTGTCTATTGCATTTTCTATAGAAATATGCAGTTGGTTAACAGAAGTAGCCTAAGTCAGGAGTCTGTTTTTCAATTGCATCTGTCCAGGTCATAGAATAATTATTCTGTCCCTAGAGCAATTACATTATTGCAAAGCACAAGGGAGAATAACAACTTTACTGGCAAGGCTATCACTTTCTGTAACATCAGAGTTAAGCATTCCATCACAAGCTTAAACAATTTCATCCAGGAAACTGAGGCAGCCTAGTAAAGAACTATATGTAATAAAATGCCATTTGAGACACTGATTTGAAAAGTTAAAGAAAATCTTGGGGGGAAAAAAGTTAACCGTATTACCCAGCTCCTAGCAAGGTAAAGAATCCAACTTCTGCATTCCCTTTGGCATGTGTTTTCAAGGATTTGCAATGTGCTAAGCTAGGATATAAAAGGCTGCTGTGCTGAGGTCTGAAATGCAATATTTTTAGACAAGGAGGATTTAAAGGTTATTGGTGACATTTAAAAAAAACAACAACCTTTGGGATGGTTTCCCCTCTCCCATAACACCAAAGATTAAGAATAGAACGAAAAAAGGGAGTTCCGTTGCCGTCCATCAACAGAACTGTTTTTTTTTTAAAATAATAATTCTGTTGTACTGTAGGCATAATACTCAGTTGAGTTATTCAAAAGAAGCTGTAAACAAGTTAGCAGTGGTAACATTACACAGCAAACCACATCAACTGCCAAGCCACAAATCAAAGGGAAATTTCAACCCAGTGGAAGTTTTCATTGGAGATAAAGGACAATAATGAAATTCAATTGCAAACACCCCCATTTAACCAAGCAGATTGAGATGGAAAGAAAGGGTGTGGGGGGGGGGGGAGGAGAAAGATTATCTTTGCATTTTTAATTTGCAATTTAGTTTCAACATGAATACGCACACTTGTTCTATTAGAAGCCTTCCCTAGGGCCATTAGGGGTGTGTGGTTATTAAAAATGGTTTTTGAAGGGGGTTCTTCTCAGCATACTTAAAAGGCTCTACAGTCAAGAGGCAAGAACTGAGTTCAGAAATGGTTTTTTTCTCAACTCCATCTACCTAGTCTAACTGCAACGAAATAAGCAGAGGTGGGTGAGGAAAAAAACCTATCTTTCTATTTACTATGCATTTGCAAGTCAAATTATTTGTGTGGGGGTGGGGGAGGAAGGAATCCAGCGATTGAACTCAACGGTCCAAACAAAAAAACATTTTTATTATTTTGTTCTGCTTGTTCATATACATATCTTCATCTAGCCAATCCAGATCTCTTGACTTCCTCCAAAAGAACATTATTCAAAAAGAGAGAGAGGAAAAAAAAATAAGGCAATGTTGCAGAGAATATAACCTCCCCCCCACCCCATTATTTATCAATAAATCCTCCCATTCCCCAAACCTGACATGATTTTAACAGATAGGAATAAAATATGCAACCCACAAATATCTCCCGTTTTGCCCCCTCCCGTTCTTATTGCTGTTCTTTGTTGTCCTGGGCGCTCTCTTTGAGTTGTTGTTTAGACACTTACACCTCCTTATTAATATGACTATTCTTCTTTCTTTTTAAAGGTGAGTTTGGAAATTTATGGAGCCCCAAATCCTAAAAGCTAGTTTCCTTCAGCAACATCTTTTAAAGGAGAATTTAAAAAATCGACTCCGCTGAGAGGGTGGGGGGGGAAAGGGAAGAAGGGGGCGTGTTTGTGCAGAAACTCAGAGTCTCTATTGAAAAGATACTAGAAAATGAAAGAAACCATTGAGAGCTCTAAGCAAGAGGCTGGGGGTACGAGATACCTATGTGTGGAGACACATCCACACACAAGTGTGTTAAAGTGGGGGGGGTGGTCATCTCCTTAAGACTAAACCCTCTGTAACCTCCCCCCCCAATTCCCCCCCCCCCAAAAAACAACCCTTGGTCCCTGCAAGTGATTATTATTATTCTTATTTTTAAATGGCTCTTTCTGTATGGCTTCCTTTGCAGGGCAATTTTCCTTCGCTTTTCACAATTCTGTGTCAACAATTAATTGTTAGTTCTCTAGCCGGCTTACCTGGTCTTGGAGGAGAGGAACGCCAGTTTGATCAATCCATAGGTAAACAATTGGATGCTGTCTTTCGCTATGCTGGCTACTTTTAAGCGGTGCTCTAAAATGTGCAATTCCATCTTTTTTTTTCTTTCTCATTTGTAGTTCATCTGTTTCGATTCTCCGCTTTTCTTGTGGGCTGTTTCTCTCCCTCTCTCTCTCTCTCTCTCTCGCCCCCCCTCCCCTTACTCAACCAGAGTATTTTTCCACTGTCTTTCCTTTTACGTTTTCCAGCGCAGGCAGAGAAGCGGGAGGGGGGGGGGAGAGAGAGAAGGCTAATAATGACTTTAGAAAGGGGGTGGAATATGGTATTTATTATAAAAAAGAGAAAGAAAGAAACGGCGGGGGGGGGAATACAGGAAAGGAGTTATTGCTAAGTCCAGAAGTAGAAGGAATGAGGAAAGGGAAAAAAAAAAAAGCAAAGGAGAGAAAGGGGGAAAAAAATGAGGAGGGGGGTGGCAGCAGAAGCTGGGAAGAGAGTTGGGAGCTCGAGAGTGCAGGAAAGCTGCTGCTGTTTCAGAATGTAACAAACAACTTGCCAGTCAAACGAACCCCTAGTGGGCATGCGCGTAGAGCGGAGCTTCGTGGGAAATGTAGTTCGAAGGGCGGAGCGCTGCGAAGAGGTTTTTTTTTTCCTCCTCCTTTAAATAAGCAAATTGAAAAAGAGGGCGGTTGCTTCTCAAAATAAAAGGATGCCTATATTTCTCTCTCTCTCTCTCTCTTTTTTGCTGAGCCAATTGTCTCAGTTTCCTGATTTGTTTTAAAAAAATACTAAAAGTAACAAATGGTTTTCTTAATACTATGGGTATTTTTTAAAATTTTGTGAAGAGTGGAAAATGATAGAGTAGCTCCTATAATGTGCTTCTATGCAAGTTAACTTGGGAGTAAGTGTTCAGTTAAATTTAGTCCCAGGTAAAGTATAAAACTACATACGGTGACTGCTATTTTTATTTTTTATAAGTATTGCTGAACCTCACTTATCTAAAAGTCTTTGTTGTTAAGCATTGTTTTCTAATTTTGGGGGGGAAAATAGCTGTGTTATTTGTAAGTCAGTAAATAATATTTTGGCCATAACTCAGAAATGATTGAAAAATATACTAAACATACTTGAAAGCCATTAGTTACAGTAACAATACAAACTATATATCCAGGCCATGTATGAGGTAACTCAAACAAAATTTAAAATGAAATTGAGTTGAATTAATAATAGCAATAGCACTTAGACTTATATATTGCTCCATAGTGTTTTACAGCACTCTCTAGTAGTAATAACAGAATTGGAAGGGACCTAATCTAGTCCAACCACTTGCTTAGGCAGGAAACCCTATACCAGTGATGGCTAACTTTTTCTGGACTGAGTGCCCAAAGCGCACATGTATGCACCCGCACCCCCGAACCCCCAAAATGCAATGTGCGCGGGGACCTGCCTGCATGCACCCTGCCCCAGGGGTGAAATGCTACCAGTTCCCTCCAGCTTGGGCAAACCAGTAGTGATAAAAACTACAGGTTCAAGCAAACCAGTAGTAAAAAAAGCTACGATCCGATGATCAGCTGTGCCTCACGATTTAGCTTTGCTAGAAAGCAGGATTTCCTGCTTTCTAGTGAAGCTAAACCGTGCGGCACAGCTGATCGCCCCTCGCTGTTCTACTTACCTTCCCAAGCCTCCTTTTGGTGCGTACCAGCAAACCGGTAGTATACCGGTTCAGATTTCACCACTGCCCTGCCCCCCCCGCATGCACGCACAGGCCCCCTGCATGCATCCCACCCCCTGTGCATGCCCGTGCACCCCCCACATGTGCACATGGGCCCCCCCTGTGCGCTCACCCCCCGCACATGTGGCAGAGACCCGAAGACCAGCTGTCCAGCGGGAGGCACACTCATATGTACGGCGTAGCTGAACTGAGGCCACAGCTTGCGTGCCTTCAGAGAGGGCGCTGCGTGCCACCTCTGGCACGCGTGCCATAGGTTCGCCATCACGACCCTATACCCTTTCAGACAAGTGGCTCCCAAATCTCTTCTTAAAAATCTCGTATTGGAGCACCCATGACTTCTGGAGGCAAGTCATTCCACTGATTAATTGTTCTAGCTGTCAGAAAATTTCTTCATGGTTCTAGATTGCTTCTCTGCTTGATTAGTTTCCATCCATTGTTTCTTTTCCTGCCTTCTGTTACTTTGAAGAATAGGTTGACCCCTCTTCTTTGTGGCAGCTCCTTAGATATCAGAACACAGCTATCATGTGACCCCTAGACCTTCTTTTCATTAAACTAGACATACCCAATACCTGCAACCAGTCTTCATATGTTTTAGCCCCTAATCTTCTTTGTTGCTTTTCTCCGCACTCTTTCTAGAGTCTCAATATCTTTTTTATATAATAGTAAGCCATTTCTGTTTTTACCAATAAAGCACATTGAATGCTGGATGATGGGCCTCTCAGGCCAGCTAACACTCAGTGTTGCTACTGAGGAAAAGCTGAGGATGTTTTGGAGTAGTGATGGTGTTTATGACATGGGTAGATTAAAGCTCTTGGGATGTCTAGTTGCTGATGTTGTCATGCAGGGAAAGAAAATCAGAAGCTGCAAAGAGAATTACAGTGGGAACGTGATGTAAGCAGCACGAAGATGGGAAAACTCAACACAATAAAAGACAAAATGAGTCAGCTACACACTGACAGCAATAGAATAGAATAGAATAGAATAGAATAGAATAGAATAGAATAGAATAGAATAGAATAGAATAGAATAGAATAGAATAGAATAACAGAGTTGGAAGGGACCTTGGAGGTCTTCTAGTCCAACCTCCCTGTTTAGGCAGGAAACTCTAAATTGAGATGGAATGCGATTGGACGTGAGTCAGAAGACCATACTGTATACCCGTGATGGTGAACCTATGGCACGCGTGCCCAAAGTGGCACACGGAGCCATGTTGCCTGGCACGCACGGCATTTCCCGTTCCTCTTCTGGGTTTCTGGCACGCATGCACACACGACGATCAGATGGCATTTTTGCGTGTGGCAGTGCTGGAAACTGGAAGAACTGGTCTTCTGTTTTCCTGCGTGAGCATGCGCGCTGGCCAGCTGATCATTGTGCACGCATTAATGCCAGAAACCTGGATGACTAACTGGCCGGCGTGTGTGCATGAACCGGAAATCGGAAGTTCATTTTCGGGCACGTGCATGCGCCCTGGGCTTCCGGGTTTCTGGCTCTCATGCACACACAATGATCAGCTAGCCAACTGATTGTTGCTCCCTTTTTGGCACCTGGTACCGAAAATGTTTGCCATCACTGCTGTATACTATTTAGGACATGAAAAAAATGAAGAAATAAATGACACTGCCTTTTCTGTCAGCTTTTGGCTATAGAGGTAGTCCTTGACTTACAACAGTTCGTTTAGTGGCCGTTCAGTGTTACAACAGCACTGAAAAAAGTGACTTATGACTGTTGCAGCACCCCCAGGGTCACGTGATCAAAATTCAGCCGTTTGACAACTGTTGTGGCCCATCAGCGGCCTGTGCAGCTAGTAGCTGATTCTGACAGCGAGGAGGCTGGTGTGGTGCTGCGCCAGCAACCTGTGCAGCTGGCACTCGAGTCAGACAATGAGGAGGCTGGAGAAGATGTGGTGCCAGAGGCAGGGATTCAGTCAGGGCCTTCAGAACCTCCAGAAGCTCCCTTAAGTGAAGAGGACGAAGAGGAGGAACCTCTTTTCAATGCACGGGTGCGCAGAGCTGCCAAAAGGCAGGAGTGGCTCCTCAGGAGGAGGTCTCCTTGAGAGTAAGGCTTGGGGCTAATTGGCCACTCCCTTAGCCTATTTAAGGAGGAATGCCGACTGAAGCAATTTGCAGGGAACAACTTCGTTCACATACCTTTGTGTCTTGTCTTGCTTATCTTATCAGCTTCCTGCAAATTGCTTCTGGGCATTCTGCCAACCACAGTAAGCTTTCAGTATTATTCTTTGAATTCTTGGCGGCTGTTAATGCAGTTAATTGTTGTAAAGAACTGGTTTATTTAGTAAACTAAAGTTTGAATGGATTTTGTGTGTGCTGGGTTCTTTGGGGTCCGTAGCTGGGGCAGAACAACAGCTGACTCATATTTATGATGGTTGGAGTGTCCCAGCATCATGCGATCCCCTTTTGCGACCTTCTGACAAGCAAAGTCAATGGGGCAGCCAGATTCACTTAACAACCCTGTTCCTGACTTTACAACTGCAGTGATTTACTTAACAACTGTGGCAAGAAAGGTCGTAAAACAGGACAAAACTCCCATACAACTATCTCAGTTAGCAACAGAAGTTTTGGCTCAACTGTAGTCATAAGTGGAGGACTACCTGTAGTCGGTCAGTGACCAAGTAAAATCATTCACTCCATGGCTGGCCCTTTAAGATTATTCAGGTTTATTCCCCGACTGCTGATGCAGAAGAAGAGGTTGATCAGTTTTATGGTCAAGTTCAATCTGAAATCAACAGAGCATGTAAGCAAGATATTCTGCTTGTGGTTGGAGACGAGAATGCCAAAACTGGAAATATTAAGGAAGAAATGTACTGTAGTTGGACTGTGTGGTCCAGGAAATGCAGCTGAGGAACAACGTATCAACTTCTGCCAATCTAATTATTGCATCAATACTACCATGTTTCCCCGAAAATAAGACCTTCCCTGAAAATAAGCCCTCCCCGAAAATATTTAACCACATGCGCAGCTGGTCCCCACCATATCCTCTGGTTAGGGTTAGGGAGGCAGAGTTGGAAATCAGGTAAGACGGCAAGAGGAGCCCCATCTTGCTCCATGTGGCCCAAAATAATAAGACCTCCCCGAAAATAAGGCCAAGCGCTTATTTCAGGTTTCAAAAAAATATAAGACAGGGTCTTATTTTCGGGGAAACACGGTAACAAAAGTGTTTAACTAACCTAAATGATGCCTATATAGGCATCACCAGGGAGAGTACACCGAAATCAAACTGACAGCTGGTGACCTCAACTTATGGCCACAATTGGAACCAGTATTTCTATTGAGAAGCAGGGCAGCTGTTAAGTGAGCCGCACCCAATTTTCCAATCTTTTTTTTTTTTGCCATGGCTGTTCACTGAATCACTGCAGTTGTTAAGTGGATCGTGGTCACTAAGCAAATCCAGCTTCCGCCATTGATTTTACTTGTCTCTGAAACTGGCCCAGGTAGGTCGCAAGTGTCCATCACGTGACCTTGAGATGCTGCAACAGTTGTAAAAACATGCCGGTTGCCAAGTGCCCAAATTTTGATTATCTGATGGGGCGGAATACCGCAAAGGTTGTAAGTGTGAGGACTGGTTGTAAGTCCTTTTGTTTCCGGGCTGTTGTAACTTTGAGGAGTCCTTGGTGCTTTCTGGTAAACTTGCAAGATTCGTTTCTCTCGCCATGTAAATGTATACATCCAAACTAGACTGTGTTGTTTCTCTGTGTCATAGAATATATTTGGGTATATGCATAATTTTGTATTTATTTATTTATTTATTTATTTATTTTGTCACGCTTATGTAGTGTATAATAGAGGTGGAGACCCTT